GTCTTGATTACTTTAACCATTACGCCATCGCACTTAAGCGCGGCAAGAATGATATTCATTGTGCAATCTTAACGGCGGACAAAATTTTCAGTCATATAATATTGGATATACCACATCCCGGTCGTAGCTGCTACCTTGACGCGTTGGTCGGGCTTGCCTATCGTGATGACCCAACCGAGCTATATTGGTTGGAACATATGTTCCTGTAGGTTCTACCATACATCGAATATTAGAAGACGCAGTCATTGGTTCACCAGCTACTTTTAAAACCATCAAAGAAGCCACGGAAAATGACAAGACATTAAGCGAAGTCAATGGTTACTTTCTCACGAAGTGGCCGAACCGTCGTTTTCAAGGAGAAACGCTGTGATATTTTCGCCGACGGGACTCACTCATGATGGTCGATTGCTGTGTTGTGTTTGGTGACCGAATCGTTGTTCCAAAAACATTACGCCACGAGGTTCTGAGACAATGGATCAAGATATCGAAACCAGATGCCTCAAGTGTTCGTCATGCCTGCAAGCAGCTAAAAGTCCAAAAAAGTGTGAACGTAACAATGGGAAAAGCCCAATATTCCCTGGGAGAGGCTGCATGCAGATTTAGCTGGTCCAATAGGAGGAAGAGTGTATCTTATCATAGTAGGCGCACTCACAAAATGGTCAAAAATCAACGCCAGTGAAACAATTAAGAAGTTATCTGAACTGTCCAGCTGCTTTGTAGTTCCGGAGACTTTAGTGACCGATAATGGCTCACAATTCACTGCAGAATCATTCAAACACTTCTGCAACATTAATGTAACTGTACATATACGCTATTCATCCTATCATTCCCAATAAAATGGACAGGAAGAGCGCTTTTTTGGACACACTCAAACGAGCACTACTGAAAGGGGAACGAGAGGGCACAAGCTAGGTAAATAAGAAATTTTCGACAGCTTATAAAACTATGCCTAACCTTATCGCCCCACATGGGAAATCCTGTGCTGAAGCGATGTTTGGGAGGAACATTCGACGTTATGTTACCACCTAAACCAACGGATGGGCGCAGACAAAATCAGAATATACGAAGTTTTGGCGTCGGTGATAAAGTGATCGTCAGTTCATGCATTGGGAAAAATCGTTGTGGATGGGGGAGTCGTTGGAAAAACAGAGGGAAGTGTTTTATATGAAGTACCTGGGACTTTTGGAATGTGGATTAGACACATCAATCAAATACACAGAGAGAAAAGGACTCTAGGCACGGTAGACAGTCGAGTGAGGCTTCCGCTAGAGATAATTACAGATAGGCCAATGACAGGAACCCCAACAGACACTCACAGACGTTGAATATCAAGAAAGTCCGAACGCCGCAGAAAACCAATTATGAAGTTGCAAGTAGACCCGAAGTAAAGGCCTTATTTTTTGAAAGGTGGGGAGTGTTAAGGAGATCCAGAAAACTCCTGGTAAAAGCCGAAAAAAACTCTGAAAACACTGAGAGGCATATTATGCAATCAGCGCTCACTAGAAGATCTGCCAGAAACATCAAGAAAGTGAAAACTCAAATGTGGAGTTTCTGATTGGCTGATTGCTATACTGCTACCATGTTTAGTAGCATTCCAGAATCTTCGGGAAACCCAACGACATCCAAAATACTATGAAAAGCCCTATATTTTGTGCACTAAAACGAACCTTTGGAGTGAAGTGCTTCTCGCATATTTTGCGCCTTTTCTCTTGTGTTCAGGTCGCTGTGTAGTTCTAGCTTGGGGGTTACTAGGAGAGCTTAGGAACCGAATATAGAGTTCAATCAGAAAGACTCATCGATCACATCAACAGACAGACAAATAACTAGGGCTGCTTTACAATCCGCTCTCGCAATTAGTCAAGCACGAACGAAACCCATGCTGCTCGTCAGTTAACAGACTGTATGAACCTATGTGGCTTAGTAACTAAACCCGAATTATCTTTTCAAGTAACTTAACGACTTCGCCATTTAGAGTGACAGACCGGTAATTGGGTACGATCTATCTCTGATCATCCTTGAATATAGAACTGACTAAAGCACCTTTCTGATCTCTAGAGAGTTGAGCGAATGAAAGGAACATGTTGAAGAGCGTCGCGAGCGGTCTTCAAATGATGTCCGCAAGAAATAACAACAGTCGTGGATGTAACCCGCCAGGGCCCGTAATCTTACAACGTTTGACGTTAGTTATCATTGGAAGAACAGTTTCCTTAGTCACATGTAAAAGTCCTATGGCTGGTATCTCGGTGTCATTGAGAAAAGTATTTGTAACAATACACGTTAAGTAGACTTGGCTAAAATAGCTTAAAAAAGTTTCAGCTTTTGCCCGATATGATTCAGCTAGTAAATCTGAATTTTCGTGTAACACTAACAAGAGAATACCATCACTACTTTTTGTTCGCCGTTTAAAATACGAAAACAATCGTTTCGGACAAGTACGGTTATCATGCATCAACTGTCGTTCGTAAATAGTGCGGGATTTAGCTATCGCCTTTTTACATGCATTCTGGATTTTTCGATATTCATATACAAATGATGCATGTCCTGTTGACAAGAATAAGTCCCAAAAGTGTTTCCTACTCTTTAAATCGTGTACAGTGCGTCCGAAACTCAAAGTACAGCGTGACCATTATTCACTAGTGAGTGAAGGTTTCGAATGTTGATTATATCCTCACAGTGGTGTGTGAGGACAAGGTTCAACACTGACGGGTCATGCTCCAGGTTGGTTTGTGTCCGTTTTGAGATACATTATACAAATGCACGCTGAATAAGGGTTGATAAAAGGTCGCTATCGAATCCCCCACCTGGAGCTGGAAGCTGTATCTAGTTTATACGCTATGTGTTGAAGTCTCTAATGATGAGGCAACTTTCTGTACAACATGCTATTTCACATGTACCACTAACATACGCTTCTGATACGATTGATCGAATATGAAAGTAATACCTGACATGCAACGTTGTCTCTGTTCCCTTGCGACCTTAAACTATCATTTCTAATACAGATGTAGCCTGCAATGATGGAAAAGCTGTTTACATCTACGGTGAGCCAAGTTTATATGACAACAATTATATGGAGAGTTATTTCACTCACCATCAAGCTTGGCTCGGACGTTTATTTTGAAAGATACAGGCGTTCGTGTATAACATATTTAATGTGTTTTGGGATCAATAGTCTTACCCAGGTAGGTCTCAGAAGTATTGGCTTCTAAGACCGGACAGCATGAAAAATCTTATTCGTTAAGTTTGTTTAGCCATTTAGCTTTCCAATTCTAAACTCCGTAATAGCATTCTTCAACTTGATCAGATCCTCAAGCGTCAAATCTGATTGGATACGAATAGTTGAATCACGAGTCATGTGTGCTTATTCAGTATTAAAACATATCAAAATTTACGAACACCAACTCCAATATCTTTCTTGGATAGGACTAGCCTCCAAAATATTTATCGAGTATTAAAACATTCGCGACATGTACATCTGAAAAACACTTCGGACAATACATTGCTAATAAGAAAAACTTCATTATTTCACATGTCATCAGTGCATAAGCAAAATACCAAATAATTCTGCATCGCTTCAAATCACGGACATGTAAGATAACACACTCGATCTTCAAAAGCCCAATAAAATCATTATACAGAAGATTAGACTCTCACAGAAGCTTTCTGAATAAGTAATTACAGGAAATGTTGATCTTCTATCTTCTATATAAAAATGTGAAGTTAAACTAGAAATTGAAGGGATAATAATTATTATTACTCTCAGTTTAGGCGTGTAAGTTATTGATATTAGTGTTTTTTACTACGAACTGTGTGAAAATTTACGTGAAATGTTAATATCCGGGCTCTTCTTTGCTAAATTAGTTGAGGCGGAGTCATTTGGTTTATAAGTTATTGTTGTGAAGTCTAATGTCAGTTTGAAACATGTAGTGTCGGTTATTATGTTAAGCCCATGTACCATATTCTAGCTTTCGAACAGCCCATTCTATTCATTCTGTTAGAGTCACATTTTGACCTTGTTAATTATTCGCTTATCAATCTTGACTGTTTTTGTATGAGCGCGTAGGTGTGTGTACACTTGTAGTGACTCACATTTATCACGAGAACACGACTAGTTAAATACAAACAATTATTATTATAACCAACTGTACCAGTGTTTGTTTTAATGTGCTTTTGTTTGACTGTGCTAATGACAGTTACATTGTGCTTCCATTCATATTCACACACTTTGATCGTGATTTCGCGCGAATTCGGTTACGTTCTGTAACCAAGCTTGTATCCTGGCACGATCTCGGTATCCTTTCGATGCCACGAGATCGCCAGCAAATAAACCTCGACTTGGTCCATTAATTGCCTTCTGGTATTTGGCTTCTCGGGGATTTTATGGATTTCATTGGTTACGTTCAACCTTTGCCTTCTGATTGACTTGGCAAGTGTTTCTTGGTAGCAGTGTTCATAGGTAATCTCAACTCGACGCCACGCTACAGTATAATGATTGAAGAAACGGTTGATCCGTTTTCATTTAGAAAAGTCATCTTTTATTCACAGGATTGTTCTTGTGCTTGTTATATTGCTCGGTCTTTTAGACGTTATCCCTTACAGTGAATAAACAGAATTGCCTTTAGATTTGCTCATACACACACACACATACTTCAGTTTAGTATTGGTTTTGAAGAATATTCTGATGTTTGTACATGAAATCAACCGATAGTTTTAGCACACAAACTATTCTCAAGTAAAAATCAATAGAGACTAAAGTGTTAAAATAACTTCAAATTATTTAATGAGAATACTTTGAACTGTAATATGGTTTTGTTTCTAAAAATTTACATCTGACACTATATATTTAAACACAGATTAGATGTTATCAGTTTGTATATGACAAATAAATCGGAATGTCATTTATTTTAAAGTTATTCATCATCCTACACTTCGGAATTGGTTATATTTTCCTCTATACATACGAACTGACTTCAATATTGTTGACAAAATTCAAACCAACACTAATGAACCCAATTAGACAATTAAGTCGAAATGATTCATCATGTAGAACTACTAACCTACCCGACAATAAAAAGTTATTTAGATATAAATTGTATTTAGATTATGCTGTAAATTTGTTGAAAACTACTAAGAAATCTAATGTAATGGAAGCTATCGAAGTTATTTTATGTAAATTCTAATTTCAGATTACATTTACATGAATATTTCTTAAAATGTAGATATTTTAAAAGACAATAAATTGACCAAACTACAAACTGATTGTTTATATCATTTGGCCGTTGGTTTCTTAAAATTAAATGTAATTAAAAATGATTATTTTATTCCTTGATAATAATGTTCTTTTGTATTTATTTGTTTGGCAGGACTATCATAATGCTACCATCTATTGTCAGTGTTTGTTAACCATTGAATCAGATAATCAGAAAATCAAGAATCTGTTATTGGAAATCAAATCACGCTCGTATGAAGGTAATGATTATCTATGAGTATATGTACACATGTATGTCACAGAAGTAATTATGTTCCACCATTTTATGTAAATATATTTCACCTACATCACCTAAGTGATTGTAAACAGTGTGAAGTTCGCGACAACATCAGTGTCAATTCACTAATATTACTTGACTAAAAGGGATAATAATGAAGCAAGATGTATTTATGACCATAGTTTGTCTTTAAACACTGATCGGTTTCTTATTATGACGTTTTCAATAACGCGGAAATGAGTTGTGAAGTCTGCCAACTATAAATAATAATGTATGTTTGAAGGTTGGACTGGCAGATGAATAATTAAAATAGTTCAATTTGTCTTAGTATCAGTGATAAAAGTAGGATTCGATTCAACTCCATACGTTTTGTTAGTTTTTATGCTGATGAAGCGTGATGCAGTCAGTTTCTCTTCAGACACTTCCACAGATATACAGTAAGTTATTCGTCGGGTTTTTCAAATATTCTTCCTTGAGAAATACTCTGGAGTTGGTCAGGGAATTTCAGTTTCAGTTTCCCTTCGAAGATGAAGGAGGTAACAGAATATTCCTTGAAGGTTGGTGACCGACTTTGACAAATTGGTGCTGGTTCATGGAGTTTTAGCAACCAAAATCCCTTATGGATGACAGACGATAAAATCGACTACGAAGTGAATGCATTCATTTATCTTCACATCAACATCACTGACTTCTCATTGGTTACTGAAAGTGTATTCACTTAACTCAAAGAAAAGTGTCGAACAGTCAAGTTGCAGATTGTGGAATCTGTTGATGAGTTGGATGTTTTTGTCAAATGGTGCGAAGTGATGTCTTAACTCTGATGAACACATGTTGGGAATGATACATGTTTTTACTGTATTCTGTTAAATACTAATATTTTGAAACATACAAATTCGCTTTAACCACTGATTAATTATCTAGCGCGGAATATGTCTATGTAATATCAGTACATGTCTGCCATTAATACGGTCTGTTAAATATAAAATTTATTCGGTCCACAATTGATGACGCTTCACTGGCCTTGTATGTCTATCATTTTTACTTTAAGTTTCTCTTGGGATTTCATGTTGCTGAGCCCCTCAGGCTTTGTTTGAGTCATGTTTTCTTTTGCACCAGAGAAGATAATTTAAAAATTTATATCCAGGCTACTTCTTTTTTTAAAGCATGGTAGTGTCTAAGGTGTGGAGTGGATCAGCTGGATTTTCCATGACAGAGTCATAAAGACATCAGTTGTAACTTGAGCAGTCTCCGTGTTATTCAACATCATCAGCATTTTCTGCACTGTGATATCCACGCTGAAGCTTTGATGAAAACAGACTTTATCAACTGTCCTTGAGTGTTTATTTAATCGCAATCCAGCTGCATATAGTCGTGTTTTTTAAGGTGAGAGACCTTGAAGTTTAATGATACATATTTTCGAACGATCGATCTAGTAGTACATTGAAACAATTAGGGTTTTAGGATTCTTAGGATTGAAATGTGAGCAAAAAGTTCGGCAAAACAAACTATGGATGGCAGATGAAATGCTACTTTCATCAGTGGACCATTTTTAGTTTATTTACCAATTGGGGTTAGGTCTTTCAATAACAAAACTTTCATGGAAGTCGAAACACTTCAGGTTCCAAGCGCGACTTTGTATAGGCCAAATGGTTTAGAGAATCAACCGGATATAGCTTTTTTGTAAAAAATAACCTGTATAACGGAGAACTTCTATTTCTGATTGTCTGAGATATTTTAGTAGCACATTGGGCCTTTGATCAGCGTTTAGACGAGCAAAGACATTTAAAAGCTACAAAAACTTTATTAAAGTGGACACATTTTAGTCAGGGTCCTCTTTGGTGAGACAAGAAAATTCATACTCATTTGTCAAACAAACCCAATGAATTGAGGCCACATAGACTACGTAATATTTGCTTTACTAATGTCCACTCGGTTGGAACATCAGAATCAGTTAATTATATAACGGAGACAGAGATATTACAGAAGGAATCAGATTCCATGGATGTATGAATTGTTGTCTTAAACACACAGAATCTGCATAGATTCCACTTAATCGAATGGAAACGTAAAGGACTGTTACTTCATTCACATAATTGCCCTTTTACCTTTCTTCTAATTTTTGCTCAAAGATTAGGGTACACGTTTATAAAGTGACTACAGTATTTTATCAAGTTCATTCTATAGACGCCTATTCAAAGGTGTTTTACCGCTCAAGAACCGAAAGTTTTCCGAACACTTTTCAGTCCCTAAAAACAACGTCCATATTAACTTTTCTGACTTATGACTACGTCATATAATCTCTCCAGTCTAAAGTGACAGAAAAAACGGCAATCAGTTGTGAAATTGAAAAATCTGCAACATTGCAGACACGTTTACCGACTTTTCTGGGTTTCTGAACGTCCATCAAATGCATTTAGCTCATTAGGTCCATACTATACATTTGGGTACCAATTACCACTAAGTTGTTTGTCCCTTCTAAACTTAGTCACATGTAAGAAACAACCTCATAACTCATCATTTGTCGTTGATATTTGGGTATTTTTCCAAGCTGACACTTATTATGACCATGCTTTGGGAAGTGTAGCCGATCCTGCACCCTATCCATGTACTGAACGTTCATTCATTACTGAAGTGGGTTGCTATGACTACCATAATTTACACCTCTTAGCTGAATATAGACTGCCTACTCACTAAAAAATAACTAGCAAACAGTCTGGACCTAATACTTTCAGTCATAGAATTACCGGCATATTCTCCCAAAGCAACTTTCCTACTGATCATAGGGAACCGTGTAACGCAGCTGAAACCATTCTCAATTAGTTGACCTACAGATTCTCGGTGAAAACCACTGAGAAGTCTGAGTCATAATACTAAAAGAACCTGAAGAGAGATAAATGCATTAATCCCCTTGGAGTCACTTGAAAATCTCTGAATTATGGAAAAGGTCAAACTGTATAAAAACGCTTAGCAATTTAATCTCAAAGCCTGTTAAAAGGAGCTTATTCTAAATTATGCTTTCACAAACTCTTGATGTCACTGACAAAGATTACTTCAGACTAACAGCAATAGGTTCTGCTTTACACTTTCCAACATTGCACGTTTTTTCGAAATTTTGCGAAGATTCACCACAGTTATTTTGATACTGGCACCAATCAAATTTATCTGTCTCTCGTGATCTAGAGAGAAAAAATCCGAAAATCTGAGACCAATATCATGATATATAAAAATAAAACTTAGAAATGATATATAATGTTCTGTAAAGGAACGGACTCACAGTTTATAAGTTGGTCTACCAGATCATGTCGGTCTCACCATTGAAGATCATACAGGCATTCGGGAGATGACAACGCCTCTACTTGTAACATCTTTATAATCAAAGTATGCCAAGACATTCAAATCGGAAGTCAGAAGTGAAGAGTCCGGAGATATATTTGAAAGGCTATCGATGTATCGAGAAGCGCTTAATCAAAGCTGGCTAATGGCGCGGATGCGTGACCAAGCGCGTTCAGTTAGATGTGTCCATTAAAACTAATGAGGTCAGAAATAAATGTGGAAGACTCACAAAACTATTTATTTCGGGAATTTATTTATCGCTTTAAGTAAATAAATTTCCGGGCTTAATAGTTTTACCGGTATTTGGTATTAATGCTTACCCCATTAATCCCACCAGGCAAATCTCTAGCGCTCAGTCAATTAACTTAAGCAGATAACTTGTGGATATGCTATGCTGTTAATCCCTTGTGACAGCTATTCAGCTTTAATTTCATGAACCTCAACTTGTCTTTCATTGGCTTAGATGGCAATTTTAAATAATTTTCATTTATTGACGAGTATTAGAACAAAACTGTCACAATGAATAATTAACGAGTTCGATAAACGAGTTGTCAGAAATAAACTTTTCGGTATAATTTATTCAAGGCAGAGGACTGTTTAAAACGTGTAAAATGCGGTAACAGAGTATTTCCTCACTTAAAAGCGTTAACTTTATTGTATTATTTCGTAATTCTTGACAGCATTCCCAGGCAGCAAATCTATCAGGCTTCTAGTAAACAGAGCTATAAATCCTTCTGAAATATCGAAGGTATTAATTAGAGCGTTAGACAAATGTATTTCAGCGACTTATCACAAAAGTGCAGAAAAAGATGGGAAAATAAAAAATTTAACTGAATAACTTCACTAGCTATTGGTTTATATGATGAGAGGGAGAGTAGTCACATTCCAACATACTTTATATTTGTTTAGGAATGGAGCAAATCACAAATATAGTGTGTAGACGATTTCGAGCGGTTTTAGGTTAACGAAAAACCCCTGGTGTGTAACTTTTCTTCCTAAAAGTCCAAGAATAGCACTGATAAAAGGAGTCTGTTGCCTTACTTTACGCTTGTATCCTTTAGGTAGTCTACCGGATCTGTATCACATGAACTGAACCTCAGAACCACATGCCAAAAGATTAGAATGAAATTGTTGCTAAGTAGTTGTTGACTCAACGTCACTTTCAATAATTTCGCCATCACTCCGGACACTTCTGAGGTCATGTTTACGGGCCGGTAATGCAGGCCCTGAATTTACTTTGGGAATATGTGTTGTTTTCTGGGTAGAAGAGCATCACTCTGTTGAAAGCGGTATAGAAAATAGTTTAAGAAATTTGACACAGTTAATTGTTTTTACTTTGTAGCATGCTAAATGGAACATTAACTAACCATTCAGTGTAGGAGTACTTCAGTGTGCTAATTATCTTAAGAATATTCCGTTCATTGGAATCTGCATTAGTGTTATCACATGAAGGTATGTTGATGAGCTCTGATTCCTTCATGGTATTACGTTTGTTAATGAAGCATAAAAGTGTTCATCCAATGGTCCCGTAATAAGTTTAGGATCTTCATATACTTCGTTGTATCCAATGAATATGTTTTCTCCCTTTCAATTTATAACGATAAGTTCGTTTTCAGCGTAGATGAGACCCTAGTAACTGCAGTTTCTTGGTTTTCTTGTGAGACTAT